GAGCTCAAGAGCTGTATAGCTCCAGCAGCCTTAAATTTATGACATAACTGGGACCCCAAAATTCTTTTCCCTATCCTAGCCTTGCATCCCCTCATCTCTTTCAGATCTTCTCCAAATGTATCCTCTAATCTATCTTCCTCTAATACTGCCCAAGAAAACTCACATATTTTCAGGTTACTAATTACTTATTTGAAAGATTCTTTCCATCACATTATTAGTCTTATTAAACTTCTGAAAATTTCCACATGACTTGGAGTTCGTTTTCAAATAACAAACTTTTGTTGCTTTTTAAAACCTAGTGGGTTTTGCCTATATTAAAGCTGTCCCGAGCACGCTCCCTGAAGTAGTAACTACTGAAGTAGCCAACTCACTCTTTATCCTGCCATTAAAAGCAATTGGTATCCCTCATTTTCCCTTTCTCATTTGTCTTTACAGCACCCTAGCAGCTCAGTTAGGAGTAACTGTTGTTACAAGAAAGCGTCACTATGATGACTTAAAGAAAGGAAGATTTCTCTCACAAATAACAAGAACTTTGGAGTGCCAGTCCTAGCTCTTTCTAACTTTCTGTTCTGTCATCCTTAGCTTTTTTTCTTCTTGACGCCTATGGTTGCTACATGGATATAACAACACCAGAGTCCCAAGTACAAGAGAAGGGGAAGTTTAAACTCTCCCTTCACAAAACTCTGGCTTTTCATTAGAAAAGGAAGTTCCCCAAAGTCTTCCCTTTACATCTCAATGGCCAGAATTAGGTCACATGCCCACTCCTAGACTACTTACTAGTTGGATTACTATATAGGGTTAAAATTTTCCTGAGCATGGGGAGGGCCTACCATCCCTGAAATCAATGGCTGCCTGCCAACTCCATCAGGAAGAAGGGATCAGAAAATGGCTGTCATTTAAAGACCATAGGGCTGCCACGCATCCTTCTCCATGTGGATGGCAAAAGCCCCTCAGAAGTGAGGCTGCCTCCAGTCTAGAGGTCGGGAAAACCTGTCCTGGCCTCAGGAGATAAATGGCTATCTGGCTTAAAGCCAGGTGTCAGTTCACGCTTTCCAAGGTCCCAGGTAAGCCAGTTTTTCTTTTAAACACAGCCATGGACCAGCAACTTTACAAATGAGCCATATTTAATGTTATAAATGCTGGGACCTGTGCCTTTTAAAGCCATTCATTGAGAAAATCTGCTAAAACCAACAGCATGCCTGAGAACACCAAGTACCTCATTCTACCTATGTGGCATTTTTATTTGCATATGCTAATCTGTATTTGTCCCAGCCCCTTGAGAGATCTGGGAATGCCAGGTCCCACCCTTGCTCCCTGCTAAGTATCTAAAACTATTAGAAAGTACACTAAGGAGACTGACAAACACATGGAACTCTAAGAATCATTTACTATTTATTCAGAATTCTCTGGACATGGCTAGATGGGAAAATTAAGTGGAACCTCTTACTGCCTACCCTAAGTCAAAAGCATGGGAGAAACTTCTGCTTCAGGCTATACTGAAGTCATTTTTCCAGACTAGCCCTCCTAATTGTAAACAACCATAAAAGTAGGAGACTAATGGTTTTCAGACATTGTACAACAGGTAGTATAAGATTAAAATCCTAGAGAGAAGAGTAATTTATGAGGTAACTACAACCACCCAGATCTCAGCCAGAGGTCAATTTCCTGAGTACCATGTGGGGAACTAAATAGAGTTCATGGCAGTTCTTACGAGCTGAGGAGGCAGAGATCGGTGTTTGGGTCAACCGAGGTGACAAGAATCTCCAGGCAGAGCACTGGAAAGAGTCACAGAGGAATGAAGGTCAAAAGCCCACATGTGGATCCTGCCACAAGCCTTTGACTAATGTGCAGGGCGAGACTACCAAGGCTTTTCAGACACTGGCTACTACAGGGCTGAGAATAAAATGGAGATACTAGAGGTCAAGCAATGCTGGAGAATACTGCAATACAGCCCAGCCAGAGTGAAGAGAGCTTTTTAACATTGCAGGCATTCAGCTAAGAAATCAGAAATGCCACTACTTAAGAATAAGTACAAAATCCTAGAGTAAGGTCTACTGTAGACCTACCCTAGCAAAGTCTCAAACCAAGCTCTAACAAAATCCATAAGGGACACCAAGCTTGGAGGCTGAATGTCAAGTTAAAAGTGCGGGGAACTACATTGGGCTTTCCACAGACCCATCTTAAAAAAGTACAAAATCACACCTAAGGAATTCAAGGAAATAAATCCGCCTATGAGAAAATTAATATTAAAATAAAAATTATTCCACAGAACTCAGGATTGCTACAATATAGAATCCTCAATGACAATTGCTAGATGTGCAAACAAAGAGGAAATTGAGCCCACAGTCAAGAGTAAAACAGACAATAAAAACCACCCCTTAGGTAACCTAGATATTAGATTTAGCAGAGAATTTAAAACAGCTGTATTCAATTCAGTTCTAAGAACTGATCAAAAATATGGTCCAAATGAGTTAACATATAGGGAACTCATAAGATAAATAAAAACTAAAGAAAGAAAAATACAAATTCTATAAACAAAAAGTTAAATAACTGAAATTCAAAAATCCATTGGATGGAAACAGGAAATTATCGTATCTAAATATCAAAGTGATTGAAGGAAAATTAATCAGAGCCTCAGAGCCTTGTAGAACATGAAATGATGTAACATACATGTAAGCAGAGTCTCAGAAAGAGGAAGAAAGTGAAAATAGGAAAAAATGAAGAAATAATAGCCTCCAAATTTTCCAACTTTCATCAAAAACATTTACTTGTGAATCTCAGGGAATCCCAACCAGGATAAATAAAAAGAAAATCACACCTAGGTGCATTATAGACAAACTGCTAAAAACTAGGATAAAGAGAAAATGCTGAAAGTAGACAAAGGCAGGGGGGCGGGGGGAGAGACACATTACATACAAGGTTGTAAAGACACAGTGATGATATGTGAGAAAGATACAGAAGCAACTTGAAATAAACTGGAGTTAGCACTTTTCAAAAGAGATTTATTTCCTAATTCTACTTTCCCAGCTATATCCTTAGAGTAATGCCAGATTTAGAACTCTGACCTCTATTTCTCTTGCTAGAAAGTAAAATATAAGAACAAAAGATTTTGTGGCTTTGGTCACTTGGAAGTAAGATGAATTTGGCTTTGGATTCCTTAGTTCCTTCTCAATAACATTTAGACAGGGAACTACAACAAGATGAGAAAAAGTAGGAAGGAAGTATGATGTAACAGGAATCACTGTCAAGTAATTCTGACATCTTATAGATTGTTATTCACATGAAAAAGAAATCATCCTAAATAAGAAAGTAAAATTGATTATGTCCCAAAGAAATACCGCATAGAAAGCATTTAGGAAAAAACATAGTCTGCTATTTGTAGTCCCATATTAAGCATTACAAAATATTCTAAAATGAGAAAAAAGGGAAAAAATATTATGAGAAAAGTGAAAAAAAGTTTATGAAATCCAAAAGTGAAATTACCTCAAAGCCAAAAGAGTTACTCCAAAAGTCATATGAAAACTATAAGTTTTTTTTGTGAACCTAAGAGTATATCTAACCTTTTATAGTATATCTTAATAGTATATCTTAATAGTATATGTAACCTTTTATATCTAACATAGTAGATATAAAAATATGATTTTTAAATCATGAAACTTCCCCACTTTGAATATATATTTAAACACACTTGGGGGAAATGCTGCAAACCCTGAAAACTTTTCCCCTTTCGTTGTCACGAGAGAAAAAGAATTCATTGACTTTTTTTTTTCTTGCCATTTTAGATTTCTTTCTATCCAATAGGATTAAACATTAAGTAAGATATACAAAAGCAAACACAAACCAATTAACATTAAATTCCCCGCCCCAGAGAAACATAAAGTGAAGTGGGTTTAACATTCTAATAAAATTTCAGCAAGGATGATACTTTGCTTCAAAGTAGGGTTTCTCAACAGTGGCACTGTTGCCATTTGGGAACAGATAATTCTTTGTCGTGAGGGCCTGTCCTGTGCATTTCAAGGTATTTAGCAGCATCCCTAATCTCCCATTTTCCCCATCCAGCTGTGCCAACTAAAAACTTCTCCAGACATTGCCAAATGTCCTGTAGGGAACAAAATTGCACCTAGTTGAGAAACACTGCCATAAAAGGTCATCCCCTCTCCCCTAATTGACTCATTTAAAAACAAAACATACACATAAAAAAAGACGCTTGACTTATAATCTACATTGAAAGCAATAGTCTTTCTAATAAAATAACTGATGTTAAATTTTTGTTTAATTCTCTTCATTCAATGAAAAAGTTCTCTAACTTTGGTGAATGTTAGATTTTATTATCAAGCTTGATTTAGATTTTCTTTATGATAGGTAGGTTTTGATTTTTGCTTTCAGATAAAGCAGACTATATTTTCTAGTATGCATGATTCTAGCATCACTCATCTATGGATACAAAGTAGCTAAAGAGAGCTGGGACACTTATTAAAACAAATAGCAATCCATTTCTAAGTCATTTGTTAGAAAAATATGACAACTTTCCTCACCTAATTGATATAAGACACATCGAGGAATTCTGAAATAAAAAGATACATTAGAATGCAAGTTGTTCCTAAAGAAATTCAACATTCAGAAAATACAGAACGTTTTTTTCATATCACTTATCTAAATCTAGATATCTTTTTCATCAGTTTAAAAATATTAATAAATGTTAATAGCCACCTCTTTCTAAAGTAGAAATATTTAGGGCAATATGAAGTTTCAAAAAGAAAATACTGTAAAAGCTGGAGGTTCTGTTATTTAAGAGATGTAGAGATGTAACTACAGAATTCACACCAACGAAGATATTTATAATTATCTCTCCACCTCTCAAAAAGGAAAGAAAAATTCCCAGAATCTTGTTGTTTTTACTTATGTGTGTGACTTTTTTCCAGGAGAAAATACAGAGTAGTATTATGTTGGGGCAAAATGTATGCTCTAAATCATAAACAAGTCCATTTCAATTGACTCACCTATGTGATAAAGTCCAATCCAATCACTGGGGTCCACCTCCTCTTTAATGTCCCAGAAGATAATCAGGTTCTGAGCTTGCCCCAGGGTGTACTCGTACATGCTAGCAGTCAAGCTGGAGCGGCTCTCAGAAGTCACCAGGTCCGTGTCACTGTTGGCCCGCTGTAGGGTCATGTTCTCTGGCATGGAGCTCTGGGCAGCGAGGCTCTGGAGGTTCTCTGGGCTCAGAGTGTACCGCATCTGGGGATTTCGACGTCGCACAAAAAGCAGGTGCTCCCGGGCTGAGCTGGCCATCCCGTCTGCCTTTCTGAGGTTGGCTTCCTACAAAGCTGCAAGAGACAGACAAGCACAAAGCATTAGTGCTACAATGTGAGGAATTAGGTTTAAGCTTCCCAGACATAAAGCCTTAAGGAGTGTTTATTAAAGCCCAACCATGTCATAATCTTCTGCTGTCAAAATAAAACCTATTATTCTACTGTCAAATGATTATGTCAAACACAACTTCTATAGACGGAGGTCACATGATGGCAAAGGCCATCACACACCTGTGCACATCTCAGCACAGCCTCCTCCTAGCAAGTAAGGAAAAAAGGGATTTCTCTTTCAGAAATGGCTTAAGAACTGAAACCTTAAAACTCCTAGGACAAAACATAGTTGGTAAACTTCTTGACACCAGTTTTGGCAATGATGTTTTCAACTGGACAACAAACATAAAGACAACAAAAGCAAAAATAAACAAGTGGGACTCTATTAAACTAAAAATCCTCTGAGCATCAAAGAAACTACCAACAAAATGAAAAGGAAACCTACCAAATGGGAGAAAATATTTGTATATCGAACACCCAATAAGGGATTAACATCCAAAATATATTTAAAAACTCATATAACTCAATAGCAAAAAAAAAAAAAAGCAGTCCAATTTCCTTTCTCCAAAGAAGATATACAAATAGACAACGGATACACAAGAAGCTGCTCAACATCACCACTCATCTGGGAAACGCAAATCAAAATCACTGTAAGATATTGCTCCACACCTGTTAGGATAGCTATCATCAAGAAGACAAGAGTTAACAAGTGCTGGCAAGGATGTGGGGAAATGGAAACCCTTGTGCACTGTTGATATAGCTGCTATGGAAGGAGAACCCTATGGAGGTCTCTCAAAAATTAAAAATAGAACTACCGTATGATCTAGCAATTCTACTTCTGGGTATATAGCCAAAGGAAATGAAAACAGAATATGAAAGAGATATATGCACTCCCACATTCATTGCGGCATTATTCACAGTGGCCAAGCTATGAAAACAACCAAAGCGTCCATCAACAAATAAGTCGATGGACCTTGGAGCATTATACTAAGTGAAATAAGTCAGAGGAAGACGAATATTACATTACCTCATTTATATATGGAATCTTTAAAAAAATGTCATACTCTTAGAAACAGCACAGAGGAGTGGTTGTCAGGGCTGGGGGATGGGGGAAATGGGCAGAAGTTGGTAAAAGGTTACAAACTTTCAGCTATAAGATAAAAGAGGTCTGAGGATCTAATATAAGACATGGTGGCTATAGTTGATAACACTATATCATGTAATTAAAATTTGCTAAAGGAGAAAAATGTTCTCACTAAAGAAAAATACGTATGAGGTGATGGATGTGTTCACTAGAGGGTGAGAATCCTCTCATAATGTACACATATATATCACCACAAAGTATACTTTAGATATCTTACAATATTATCTATCAATAATGCCTCAATAAAGCCAAAAGAAAAATAAAAAAGAATGTAACTTCATAAAGGCAGAGATTTTCATCTGGTTTGTCCCCCGTATCTACAATGGTGCCTGGTACACAGTAGATATCGATAAATATTTGTTAAATGAATAAATTAATGAACAGTGAACATCTTTCTCCTAGATACTCCTTAAGCTTCTAGGAGCATGACTTAAAACTTGAGTCCTTTTTCTGGGTCTGCCCTTCACCATTCCTGATTTTCTGTCATAAACCTGATCTCATATTTCTAGCATTATATCTTGAATTGATATCCTATGTAAAAAGAACAAATTTAAAATGAACAAATAAACTAATATTTCTCTTCAGAAATTTAGCTCTTGTTATCCTTATGTGGTATATGGTAACTCTGACACCATAATATAACCCATAACTGTTAAACAACCTCAAATCCACGAAGCCTAAAATAGAGATCAACTTCTTACCAGACACTTTCATGAAATTTTCATGGATTTTGACAAAATTTTAGTGGATCTTTGTTTATAAACCCCGAGTGAGTCAAGCACCACATCAGCTTCAACAAACACTATAAATAATTAATTCCTAACCCATCATAGTCAAATAGAAAATTCAGGCCATGTATAACTAAATTACTCCCCTGAAAGAACTAGGCCAGAACCATTATAACTTAAAGCCACAACAGAAGAACTACTGAGAATTACTCTGCTTTAGAAGAAAGGGAAAAAAGCGCATATACACCAAAACTATTGTTTTAAAATGACCTCTATTTATATCAGAGAGATAAGTTTGTACAATGAATAAGAGAATAAGCTTCAAAACCTGATTTCTGAGTTTTAGTCATGTCTCTACTATCAAGTCACTCTGTGATCTTGGCCACTTGATTTTAACTCTCTTTGCCATTTTTCCATCTGTAAAGTATGGATAATAATGCCCATCTCATAGGATTTGGTAGAGAACTAAATGAATTAGTACAAGTAAAGCATTTAGAACAGTACCTAGCATATAGTAATTTTAGCTTTTCACATTACATAACTACATTCTACTTTAATTATATCTAGTAGAATTAGTTTTAATACTCCTTGATTCCCCCCCACACACTTTTTGAAAGAGTAGACTGTCAGCATCCTCAGTTATTCAAAGTATAGCCCCCAAACCAGAAAAAAGGCACTGAGGAACAGTTATTTTGAAGTACAAGCCTTAACCCCATAACCCTGCAAGGGCCATTCTCTGGTTCTCCAGCAGATATAAAGGCTGAAATTTCACTTTCGAACCATTATTGTGTTCAATGGGTGGAAGCGGGGAAAAGAGAGGGGAAGAGGAGGGGGAGATTGGCAGGGTGGGGGGGGGACATCCTGAAGAAGAGACTGAGGAAGGCTGTCAAATGTTGCAGCTAAAAGTTGAGAAGGTATAACAGCATTTGAAAACTAGAAGGAAATCAGTGGCCTTAGGGAAACAGTTTACATGGGCCAGTAAAAGCCAGACTGTTGAGGTTTGAGGAAGGAGGCTGAGAAGGTAAGTGGGGGTAAAGAGTACAGACTCTTTTCCAAAAGGCTGGATGGTAAAGGGGAGAAGAGCGTGTGGTAGAGAGAGGGTGATGTGGACTGAGACATGACTGGGTCTGTTTGCTTTTTGTTCTTAGGATAAGAGAGACTTTTGCATGTTTGTAATATTAGCACACCCACACAAGAAATACTGGTTTAAAAAATCAGTAAATGAAAATTGAGAGAAGGGGCAGTGAAGAGGAAAAGATGAAGGTACAGGAAACAGGGGAGATATATGATTGAGTAAGATCACTAAGAAAGAACAAAAGTTGGAATACATACATGGCTTCTGGCTCCCAGCGCTCAGAAAACAGCTGCATTAGGATACACAGGCCTTTGAGATGTAGCTCAGGATTGAACCACAGCTTTTAAAGAACTGTTTCAACATAAAATTTAAATCCAACTTCCAAACAACCCACTTGTAGAAGAACCACTCACCTACTGGTGACTGCACATGGTGAGATGTGAGATTAGAAAGAGAAGAGATTAGAACTTTGAGCACAGATTGCGAAGTAATTCAGTTGGAACCTCACCAAGAGTACTGAGCAGGAAGCCATTCCAAGATTTGAGCAGAGGAGTCAAAATATGAAATTTAAGTATGGGAAACTTAATCTGAGAGTTTATGAAGGGCTGACTATAAGAGGAAGAAAACAGAGGTGGGGAAACCACTTTGAAACTAAGTGATTAGTTAAAGCGACTGGCACCGAGTGCCAAATAATGGATTTTAATAACACAAAAAGGGAACAGATTAACCAGGAATATTTCAAAGACAGAGCCCAAAGATTTGGTGACAGATTGACTATAGGGGGTAAAAGTGAGGAAGAAATTAAGAATAGATTTTAGATTTTCAATCTAAATGTCAACAGAATCCCAGAAACATTGACAGGGCTAAGAAAATCAACACCATTTTGGGTGAGTTTAAAGTAAATGCAAAATATCCAAGTAACTATATCCTGAAGACTCTTGTGAGGGTGGGCCTGAATTGCTGGTTATTATGAGGCTAGGGATAAAATGAATTTTCAACTGGAAGTTTCTGCTTAATAATGGCCTTAGTATTTATTAATTCAATGAGGGACTGTTACCAAATCTGCTCTGAAAAACCATTTTTCTCTTATAGGAGAAGTAATATATTTTTGAGAGTTCATGTTTCCATAATAAATACCAAACACCAGGCAAAAGTCACTTTGCAAACTTTCATAAAAATGAAAAAAAATCAAACCACTCTAAATTTTATAGTTAAAAATTTAGTCTTATTCAATGCAATGTTTTCATACAAAAAAAAAAATAGTGCTACTCAAACAACAGGGAGTGGCTGCTTTACATTCTCTCCTACTGGAATCTAAATTCTTGATCGGCTTCTTGGTTTCATACCTATGCCCTTGGCAATGAGAAAGACAAATTTTCTTCAGAATATTATCCATGCTCTTCTGAAGAGCTTTAGAAGATAAAGCTGATAGTAAGGGAAACTGAGTAGTACCCACCATATTTATTAAACATATTTATAGCTCCTTAGATAATGCCTCCCATTGTGAGCCTCTGCTGCAGCTATATGTCCCAATCCCAAAGGACACAATTTAACATAATGTAGCACTCCTTAAAAAAAACCTCCCTCTTCTATTTGTCATTAGGTCTGCACTATGCTGCTCTCTCAGATAACAGACGTCTGCTTAAACAACGGAAACAAAATCACTTTTCTTCCAGAGGTCAAGATAGATATAATTACAAAGCAAACTGCAACTTAGTTTACAACTTCATTTCCAAAAGCAGCAGATTTTGCTTAGAAGATACAGACAGTAGCAGGTGACAAATACATTAAGAAAGTGTTTTTATTTAAGACAACTTCATTTCCAAAAGCAGCAGATATTGCTTAGACGATACAGACAGCAGCAGGCGACAAATACATTAAGAAAGTGTTTTTATTTAAAATATTTTTACTAAAAAATCCAGAGGTGAAGTGTCAATTTACTAAACTTCATCTGAAGGGCAAGTACTGAACACATTCACTGTCAAAAGATTTTT